ACTGCTTACTTAGGCATAATGTTTAGCTTTTCCAATTAAGGGATTTAAAACTGAGTGTGGTAGTAAGTCGCCAACTTTAACCTTTTTTTTCGGGAAAAAACTAAATGCTACATATAAAATTAGACTCTACTTAGGACATTTTTGACAATAAAACTGAAACTATATCTCAATATAATTTATCCTAGAAACCTCGCATTAGCACTTCTAATTATTTTTAAATCGTATTCACACATATTCCTTTATTCAAAGAACTAAGCTGAATGTATGTACTGACTAATAAATTTTGGCTACTTTATTTATTAGACAGATTATAGTCATTTATTGCAATTGACCTTTGATCTCTTCTTGCATTTAGTTACGCCCGCCCGACAACTCACAAGTAAATTATTAAAGGAACCTCATAGAAATTTATTGTGCGCGTTGGTAGCGACTGCTGTACTATACCAATAATATTGCAATAGAGATGGGTTCATTATTAATTTAAAAGTAACTACAGTAAACATAAGATTTTCATTTTGTCGAATTTTTGTCTGTTTTTCATAAATTTAACTAAACTTCTTTGACAATCGCTTTAAAAATTTAACCTTTTTATTCAAACTTAATTAAAGCTACATTTTTATAACTGAATTAATCAATATTGATTTGCAGCAACTACTCCGCGACTCTGTTCGTACAAAATTACAAAAAAAACTAAACGAGTTGCTTCTACTACAGCCCTGTCAAATTTCCTCGAGACGTGTTGAGCCGTTCCGGGGATATCTTCAAACACTCATCCATCCATCTAAACGTTCGCATAAATAATATTAGTATGATTTATGTCTTTTGATCACATTTGTTAACATTTAATTCAGTAGGTACAGCCTACCATATTTTTTACTTCAGATGTAAATCCTTATAAATAATGGCACTTCACTAGTAGTAGGTAAGCGGCTGTCTCATTTCGTACGCACCTGATTAACGTGTGACGTAGGCGTACATTGATTCACCTGGCCGAGGCTAACATCCATCCTAATTAGTCGCACTTACACATTTAATGTGGCGTCAACCGCGCCGCGCAACCTAACTCCATGTGGGAGGCGAAATGAATTATCGTTATACCATTTCAAATCCTTGTAAAGTTCAAAGTATGACGTGGGAATTTATATTAGCCTTCTAAACTCTAACTATGATCATGGGTAGCGGTGGTCACTTAAATTTGGAAGTATTTTATAATTTACTTCGTTCTACGGTAAAACAAGTTCTAAAAATATTGTCCATGGGCCTAGCACGAATATTTGTGACAATCGCGATCGTATCGTGATTGATTTGTTGTATTAAAACGTGCAGCGCTCCTGTCAGGCGTAAACTAAACCAACAAATCTCATACTAATTTTAACATAACGATAACGACACAAGAGGCGATTGTCACAAATATCCGTGCTAGGCCCACTGTTCCCAGTTCACCTTAGAACTGCGAGTATTGACAGTTTGCTGTTACAATTAACATAAATTATATACAATAGAATATTTAGTTATTTATCCTATTTGGTATTAAACTGCTATTCACATACTGTCTCACTAAATTCAATGAATATTTTTCATATAATGTAAACCACCTTATCAATAATCTGAGCTTGTACCCAAAATGACATCGATTATCGATATCACTTGTAGAATCGACATAATGTGTCAAAATGTTGAAGAATAAATACATGATATGCACGTGATATATCAAAAAATACTTCCATACATCATAAACTCTTCTATTAGTAATATAGCTAGTACAATGTTTCTTTGTCTAGTGGTTATACTATAAATAAGCATTTTTTTTTACAAAATAATTGTCACGAGTTTATATATCTTAGAAGTATTCTCCTCTTACATACTGGCATGTTGTAACCGTAAGTTTAATTTATATAAAACCTTCTTATTTTTTAAACTTAATTAGCGACGACAATAATACTTTATTGGAGAAGAAACTCCAGTAATTAATTACTACAGTACAGTTTTAATATTATAATTAATTAATATAATAAACTAATATATAAATTTAAAATTTAAACGGAACATTAATCAATGTTGTTTATTTAGGTGCGGAGACATAGATCTTGTAAAGTATGCGCTCCTGACCATTCTATATATAACTCTGTGGTAAGTCGCCCTTGCGTTTCTATTTTCAAATAGTCATGGTAATAATATTGCTTGTAGACAAGGGAGTAAAGTAACATGACTTCTCAATATCCTGATACTGTGTTGGTGAGAAACATAACATAACATAGTAAGTGCGTAACTCCATTGATATCTTAACGATATTACTTGATAACAAAAAATTCAAACATCTGTATGCAAGACCTTAGCCAGCCCTTAAGAAGTCTTCTAACTTGGATAATCAAGATAGACAAAATACTTTCTTACGTTTATAATTCTACATTTTAATGTGGTAAGTTGCAACAACTTATCACAAATGTTAGGGTGGGGTGTGTCATTGTGGAATTATAAAAAAAAAGAATCCTCAAAAGTTTACCTCGGGCTAGTAAAGTGGTCATAACAGTATACGATTTCGTCATTCCTGGATTGCGGGGACATCAATCCTTGTTCGAAACACGTGCGCCGTCTGCCCTTGAACGAAGCTGACGCTTGCCTGTTGCTATTTTAAAATCACCACCGCGCAGGGGATGGGGTGGTTGCTGGTTCGATTTATAGCCAAGAGTAGCTCTTTATAACACTGAGCGTAGATCGTAAGGAAATTATTAAAACATCTAACGAGACAAAGCTCATAAATAAATAATATTTTAACAATTCCCTAATACCTAAATGAACGGATGATTTTTTAAATACCCATAGTTTTAACGCATTATTTAATTTTGAGGCTTATTTCAGTAATGTTATATAATACACTACTTCTTGTGACCATAGAATGACTTTTGAACACCGAACTTTAAACTAAGAATTAATTTGCGAATACTGATTTCTAAATTCGATACTTTGACAAATATAACGTTACAAGTCTCAAATTGAGCAATTTCGTGTATCCTGCATCTGTCACCGAGGTCGAAAAAAACGTCAGAAAAAGTAACCGTCGCGTCGTGTAATTATAGATCTACTGGAAAGTTTTTTAAATCGCGTCGATTTTAGAAAGGTTTCTCAACGGTGCTATTTTAACTTATGTTTGTTTCACATGATGCAATGATTTATCATTTTTAAGCTAAATTGAATTACTGTGATTATATAATATTTATAACTTTGTAGATTTAGAACGAAAATATTCCTGAAAATCGTTATAATTTAAATACATCTAGTTGTATATAGAATAACAATAACTAAGAAATACATAGAGATTTAATGGGCACTGGATGTTAAAAAGGAACATTTTCTTTTTTTTAAGGCTTAAACATTTCCCCCATTTCCACGCCGCCTAGCGTCGAGTAGCGAACCGCGTGAGCCTTCACATATGAAAACTTTCGGAACGTAGCACCATCCCTTTCATGTCACTAACATAACCCAACATATGAATGAGATCAACATACACGCGTCATTATGTCCCCAGTTTCCACTTTAGGAAAACGTACAACACTTCACCTGTCTCTATTTCCACCCTACGTAAGTCGCCTTTAGAGAGGGATGAAATGATTTTGAAGTTGCAACTGAAACGCACCTGAAGTGACCCAGACCTCTAATATATTAATGTCCGGCCTATTTGTTTGACCAGTCTAATTGTCCTCCGTTTTCTCATTGTTTCTAGAAACAATACAGATAAAAGTTTTTTTAATAACAAAAAAGTTAATCATTTAAAAACTTTATTTTCGCAATAATTATTAATTATTAATAAAATGGTAGAGTAGGGTAATTGTATACAAATGTAACAAAGAGAGTATGACGTAATACATATGTGTACAATTATAATTTGCTATTTATCATAATGCGGGTAGACAAACATAAAAAAATAATTCAATAATCGAAGGCAAAAGTTCCAAGTTCACGAAGCGAGTTGAGAAACAATTATGAAAAAGTTCTTTTTCGTCGCCGTTCTCGCGCCAGTTAAGTCTCGACTGACACTCATAAAACTTATTAAAGTCAAGGACCGACCGAGATAAGTTCCTCGTAGCGTCTTAAGTAAAATAACGTGGGGGAAAAAATGCGCTCGGAAACTTGGAAGAGTGAAAGTGAAAGATCTAGCCATCTGTAGAGTTCAACGTGTTGCGTTTCTTACTTTTTTAAAAGGGCTTGTTTATATTGAGTCTATCATTATTTTAAATACAAGACAAATTTTAAATAAACATAAGAATAGAATATGACAGTAATACGACAGACCTAAGAATATGTGTTTAGATTTAATTCTAAACGACGACCACGCTACGAGTATGCTACGCGCGTAGCTACTAGCTACGCTTACTACCATGACTTTGTCAAGACAAATTTTCCATCCGTAAATTAAAATTATTGTTACTTATTTTGACATTTATACTGTTTTATTTTATAAAATTTATCATCTTAATTAAACGCTTTTGGTTCTTACTTAAGGCTTTATTCTCTTTTTATACTAACGTGGAGTATGTAAACTTTAAAACCAAGTTTTAAATAAAAATACAGTTTTAAAGTCGTTCGTCTTCATTAACACAACTCTAAAAAGCTCGTACTGACCGCGCGACGCAGGTCCATTCAATTAAAAATTCCATCTCCTAATCGAGTCATGAAATATGCAGGCAAATATTATCCCTTTTCTTTTGTACGCGTTGCATCTTCGCCCCACCCGCGCACGCACACCGACGCACGGCACTTGTGATCAATGTCTATCCTTTTCGCGCGCTGGGAGGCTGCGTTTGTGGGAGTGTCGCGGCGTCTCTGTTCAGATGCCGAGGCGTCGGCGACCGCGAGTAACCCCTGGCCACTTCGTGCGGACTCGCGCGCGCCGCGTTGCTCTCGGCCAGCGGAGCGAGACGGCGCGAGTCGTGGACACGAGGCCCGAGGCCGGGCGCCCTCGCGCGAAGGGACACAGGACGGCCACAGACGCTCTCGGACAGCGGGCGAGAGCGGGCGGCCGGCCGCGCACCTGCTACACCGCTCCGCACGCGCGACCTACTCGATCTCGATCGCGGTATACGCCACTTCGCGAAATTCATAAACAAAATAGACTATCACTATTTTCGCTTTTCTTTTGTTAAGTTGTTAAAGTTACCTTCTGCAAATATTTAATTATTTTATTTCGTATTGTTTTTAAAATTATCTATGCAAGATCTGTGACTTTGACTGAAGTGAAGAAGTTAATATATGAAAATATATTAGTGCAAAAACCGTCTTATTAGCTGGAATGCAAGATCGCCACTGAGTGCGTTCAGATTAGATAGAACGCGAGACTTTCATTCGAGTGTTGATAAGGCCGTTTTATGACCAATACATTTTGGCAAGTAAATATTTGGCCGACGAATGAGACATATTAAGCATCATGAAGAGGAAAAAGTAGAAGACGGTGTTGTTAAAAAATTTAAACTGTAAAAATGATTGACTTAAAAAGATGACTAAAATTTTGTTAGACGTAGCTCGCCGTCGGACTTTCGAGGACAATTCTGTGACATCTCGACCTTTGTTATCAAAATCGTTTTAAAAAACGGGCCGATAAGCGGCAGCGCCGGCGGCCCGTGTGAACTGCTGCCGCGGACAAGGAGCTGTCGCTGCTAAGATTTCCGAGGATAAAGAAGTTGTTGAAGATCCAAAAATAGGTGACCAAATCAAGATGAGAATTAAGATGCCAGCTGTACGCATCGCGCAAGGTTTGTTTATTTTCATTATTGATGTTTGCAAAATAAATATACATCATTTTTTGTTAGTTATAATCGTTAAAACTAGCGTAAACTTTAGTACCTAGCTTTTTACCGAAGATTTTTTAACAAAACTAAGTAAAAATAAAATTTTAACGGGCACACAGTTTCACACAATTGCAGTCAGTAGCTCTGACGAGACTCTATTCAAGTCAGCAACGAGCTACTTAATATTGTAGCTCTTGAGTCAATATTTGCTCGGGACCTTGGTCATCCGTCCAAGAGGGACAGGGATAGTTTTAAAGAGTTACACCGACTACCTCACTTGCCGCTTTAAATTATTCAACAACAAAACATGCAGCACTCGAAAACAACAAGACATTCTTTCTAGCCAGTATTTAAAAATAATTGTTTTTTTTAATACCTCATTGTACGACATTGTACATATTTATATTTATTTTTGATATAATTATGCAACTATTTATAAAAATGTCCAGATTTTTTCCATTATGACTTTCCGATAAGATCGTTTGACGTCAATTGTTTTTATAACCACTTAAAAAATTAATAAAAATAATGTTTTGTCACGTTTTACAAACAATGTACGATATATACCTACTTACTAAGAACCGCCTTAAGCCTATTCTAAGTTGCATTGTCAAGTAGAATTGCAATAACTTTAAAGTTGGCTAAAAGAGTTAATATCCGTTTATTTGTCATATTATCAATCAGATTACTTATTAAAAAGAACATTGTTGAGTATCTAAAAATACAGAAAGAAAATAAAATTATTTTACTTCCTCTATCACAGATTTAAAAAACATGTCTTAAAAAAATTGATAGATGATATTATTTTCTTGGAAATATTCATTAATTCTCGACCGGGGATATATAATACGTAATTTTGTAAGATAATTACACATTTGCCAGCACTGACATAAGACCTAACTCGAATGTGCACAGGTCAAATCTAATATAGACAATGTTAATATGAGTCATCTAATATGGAAAATAAGTTAGCGATATTAATTATATTTACATTGAATGTCCATTTTGTAGCAAAGACAGTAGGTATATGTCGTGATATGTTACAGGAAAGATGTTTAAATAAATATTAAAATACGTTTAGTTTAGTCGTAGCGTAATTAGCCCTTAAACACTGTTTAATTTTTATATTAAGCATTAATTTAGACAAAAACCAAAGCTTTTCAAATAACACATACAAACAAAGAATGGATAGTTAAATATTTTATTCAGTTTATTACTAATCTGATTCTCAGAATATTTTTAATAATTTATTATTAAAATAAATACTTCTAAAATTTTGCAATTTAGGTTATAGTTTATAATACTAGGAAGTAAACTATAAGAAATAATAACTAAAATATCTAATTGTCTAAAAGAGGACATAAGTCGTATGCTAATTTTATGGCCATAAAAGTCTGCACGGAGCATGCTGTAGATGTTAGAAATTGTTCATATTAATTAGTTTACATTAAAATTCTTATGCCATTGTGTAAAGTTCTCACTGTCCGACGGCTAATATAATTGCACATAATTCATAAACCGTTTCTTGTTTGTGTTCCCATGCTTTACTTTTGTTTTTAAAAACTATATTTTCCTCATTGACTAATTTTAATCTAGCTTAAGTGATAAAACAACTCGGCAGAAAAGTAGCCACTGTTGACTTGATAAATTAATTTTCTTTTTGTAAACGATATTTTCCTAGAAAGATCTTTATTGATAGACTCTCAATACTACTTAGTTAAAAGACTTTCGTATAAAATTGGTGTAAACGAGTGGTTGAATTAATATGTATTATATATTATAGTACATGAATAGATTCAGTTCCTTTATTTTACAAGATATTTGCTTATCTCTCAAGAGATTTTTTATTTGCGTAGTACTTGCATGTGTGTGCGTAGAAATAAGACATGCGTGTGCGCCGAATCGAGTGCACAGATTCCTCTTGGCTAGAGAGTTATCGCACACAACGCCAATTAGTCCAAGTTGACCGTCGGCAAGGGGGCACCGCTATTGGTCGGTGGCCAGGTGACGTCACCGACGGCTGCGGCCTCCCGCCCGATTGGCCGACACGCGTCATCTCATCGGTGACACGTTTGTTCTTATTACCGGCGCAGGAGCCTCGAGTACGCATCGAACAAAGCAACCCCCTCTTTTGCGTCTCCATTGATTGTACGCGTAATTTCTAGGAAGCTTTTTTTTTAATCAATATAGGAAATACATGATCGTAGAATTTCACTAATTCCTATCCTATCAGTCTTAGAAGTATAGAAAACGATTAGTTCTAAACAATGAAAACTAAAAAAGAATCTTAATAATAAGAAAACAAGTAGTGTCTAATTTAAAATTGACTATCCGAAAACTTTTTAAAGGTACCCTCAATTACAACTTGCAGAGGACAGAGGGCCTCGGCTTTTTTAACCCTCTTCAAAGGTGTGAATTAGCGAATCATCGAATTACATTATCAGACGCGAGTTCTGCCACGCGTTCCTAACTTTTGCAAACTTTTAAAAATCCAAGTTAACTTCCCTTCTGTCCAATGCCACTCACTAAATAAATTATTAAACAATGATTCCCCACTCTTGTAACTCTAATTGTAAATTTTAGGACTTTGTGATGTGTTTTTTGTTGTTTTTAAAGGCCATTGCAAATCGAATGCTTGTTGTACCTGATTACTCATAGCGAATACTCTAAAAGCTTCTTATTTATATTGACCACTACATATGTCATAAAGATACACTGATAATGAACAAGGAATTCTTCTGATTTCTATTATTTTTAACGGGATAACTTCTCTTCATCATCATCAGCTCACTATACGTCTCCACCGAGGGACTCAAGCCCACCCTAAGTTAAGGGTGAGTAGGGCGTAGTCAACCACGCTGGCCAAGTGCGGGTTTGTTGACTTCACACATATCTTTGAATTTCTTCTCAGATATGTGTAGGTTGCATCACGATGTTCTCCTTCACCGTAAGGACGTCGGATAAATGTACATATGTAAATCCAAAATCGAAAAACACATTGGTACATGATGGGATTCGAACCCAGGACCTGCAGATTGCAAGTCAAGTGCTTGACCACTGAACCACCGACGCTCCTTAACTTCTCTTCATCAAAAGAAAATTGATGTTCTAATTGCTTGTATTTGATTTATAATCTATTTATTTTTTTTTATTATAAAGAGCGGATATCACATAAAAGGCTGCATGTCAATTTAAAACGTTGACTATGTCGTTCGCCGCTTAGCGATTCAATATGTCTTCATTAAGCGAATATCGAAGCATCGCATTTACAAGCGGAACTTTCAATCTTGATCCTTGGTACCAAGTTACAGCTGCTACTTAGGTCTTGATACTTTGAATCGATTCCGTCTAGGAAAGATAGTCATTGAAGTAGCTACAGAAAATTAATACTTTGGATAATTAATAAATATTTTTATTAATTTTAATTTAGTCTTTAACTTTGATGGAGCAACGTTTAATGGTCTTTGCCGATACTAAGATCGCTCAAGGCTAGGAAATTTTAGTAGGTTTAGTACGGAGAATCGTAGATATGTCTTAAAAAATAATTTTTTATAAGTATCAATAACCATTTATAGTATTTATCGACGTAACTTAAATATCCTTACTTCTCGAAATGAGTCTTTAACTACATTATAAGTTGTGTTACAGATATTAGAGAAAAAAGACATAAAGAAAGAAGGACCGATATCTTTAATAAAAGGTAGCCGATATTTAAATGATGGGAATAAAGTTAATTTCGGTATTACGAATAATAATGTAAGCGGTCCTCGGCGTCGGCCACCCGCTCTTTTTGCAACTGGACCGACGGTGGATTTATTTTTCTTAATGTCCGCATCCACCGGCATTGTTTTTGTGATCCCAAAGATAAAGATGTGTATGGATTTACATATGTTATGTTAAACGGAGGTCCAGACCAAGTTTAATTTGGATTTATTAGTCCCGCGCTGTTAAGTGATGCTAAACAACGTTGGAGGTAAATGTTTATTTATGACTAACTTGGTCAATAATTAAAAAGAATTTAATACAATTTATACATATAATAAGATATATATATATATATATATATATATATATATATATATATATATATATATATATATATATATATATATATATATCATCAGCTCACTATACGTCCCCACCGAGGGGCTCGGAGCCTACCCTAAGTTAAGGGTGATTAGGCCATAGTCAACCACGCTGGTCAAGTGCGGGTTGGTTGACTTCACACATATCTTTTGAAAGTCTTCTCAGATATGTGCAGGTTGCATCACGATGTTTTCCTTCACCGTAAGAACGTCGGATAAATGTACATATGTAAATCGGAAATCGAAAAACACATTGGTACATGGCGGGATTCGAACCCAGGACCTGCAGATTGCAAGTCAAGTGCTTGACCACTGAGCCACCGACGCTCCTCCTATAATAAGATGCTAATTTAAAATAATTTTCTATATAAAAGCACATATACGTAGTTACAGATATAAGAAATATATAGAAAGAAAATAATAACATGTTATATCAAATTGGTTATCATTTATTACAAATCAATAGAAATTTGAAAAAGAAAATATACAAATACAACATTTCTATACATTTTATTAGTTTATTAGATATAGATATAAGATTATAGACAGATTATTTTTGAAAGAAAAAATTGCAAATTTTAAAACCATTCATTGTTAGATATTGTTAGGAAAAAGGATTATTTATATCAAGAACAAAAATCATGTAACAAACAATAAAAATTGACACCAAACATAGAACCCTTTTAGAGAATTACACTAATCCAATGGTTTAAGATAAAACTGAATGATAATTGACCATTTCTGTTAAACTGTAGCAATTTTACCTTAGTCCCTTACAATCTACGATTTATATTTTAGAAGAAATATTTCTCTATATATTAAATTATTTATTCACACATAGACACAGTCTTTTAACAAATTAAATATGTAACCCTTGCA